AAAAAACTCGACATAGCCCGGCGGTTAAGATGCAAAGCCACTATTTGGAAGGTTCGTGGTTCGAATCCAACCCTTGCTTTTGGTTTATTTCCTTCCAGGCTTGGGAAAGCTGGTGGTAACTTAGCCTTCGTACTTTCTTCGAGCTGCGCAGCAGCTACGCAGCGAAAGAACATCAAAGCTGAGCGATTATTTATTTGAAATAACTATCAGAAAGGGCATCAGAACCGGTTTGAATGACAGGCGACCCGAGTCCCTTGCAATCGACGAATTGCAAAACGCATAACTATGAGCGTACTAGTCCTCCATATCAAAACAACGGCTTCTCCAGCTCTAGAGTCATGGCTTTAACGGGAAAGAAGCACTCCAACCTAGAAAATGACCTGACAATCGGCACAAACAAGGAAAGTGGCCCAGAGCGACCTCTTCTCAACCAGACGTTAAACCGGGTACCGTCAACTCTTCATGGGTTATCCCAAACTCTAACTGAGTTTTCTCCAGAAAACATTGGGGCTTCACTTAAAATGTTCATATAATGATGTACATAGGTTTTTCAGCAGGCTTTCAGAACTCCGTGTTTTTAAAAAATACTTCAGCACGGTATCAATAACAGAAACGTGACCATCGGATATCTTCAGAAATACAGTTATCAGGAATGATTCTGGTGTGTCCAAACCGTGGCGGTGTTACCCCACTCGTCTTCCGAAAAGAAATAGAATGGGTCACCATGAATGACCATGTGCTGACACGTCGCGTTGTTCTTCATGCACACTGTGGCGGTCTTCCAGGTCTCAGACCATTCCCAGCATCGACGTGTGCTTTACCAAAACGGTTTCCCTAGAAACTCAACAAGGGATAGTCATTTGTTCTAAACCTTTTCTTACAGCCGAACATGTGCCATTTTGTAGTCTTAACGACCTTTTAGCAACACTGCATTGTGCAATCACGTAACTGAAACGACGACTCATGGTCTACTATATCTCCCACCTTAGATCAGGGGTGGATGAATAAAGAACCGATTGCACTAACCGTGACTCATGCATCTCTACTTAAAAGTGAAGTGAACTGAAGAGAAGCTGTTCAGATGCACGTGTCACACCATCAGGCCACTACAAGCTAAGTCGAAACTCGCAACAATATCTAAGATAAGGATCTAAGTTGATAATCTAAACCAAAAACAAGGGTCGGGGGCGATACGCCGATCGCTTGGATGACCTTACTCTAACTTACGCTTCCATGCCAACCATCTCATATTTGTGAAAGTCTAATACCTTCATCTATATCTACAACTGGTTGATAGGCAAAGCTTGAAACAACTACCAACACAAACATGATCACTGAAACTGGGAGTGCCACACACTGTTGCACTACTCTTATTCGTAAGTGTGAGTGAGGTTTACATCACACTGCAAAACTAAGTATTTGAAGGTACTTTATATAAATATCAGCAGCTGCCCCATTCAAACAATTCACCAGCTATATACCGCGTACCACAGGTATATTGGTTCCAGCTGCTACAGTGGGACCTATACCCAAGCCTTAGAGA